GATAATCGACGATGATGAACCTTCGAGACTTGAACTTATCATTGAAAGCAAAAATGAAAAAGACAAAAAAAACATTACAAGGCTTGCTTTTTTTTAATATTTTATAAAGTCAATAACCTTGAACAAAATTTTCTATTAAGGTATTAGTTTCAAAATTGACCATCATCTCTTTTCTCGACCACGCAAGAATCCTTATCCATCTAAAGAAGTTGTATATCGTAATTATCCTTAGTACATGATTGTCTTTTCTTTATATATTTAGCATGATAATGGTTATACGATAGTATATGAATGCCTATATAATTCTCTTCCTACATCAGTATTTGATACAAATCGATATTTATTAGGCGAAAGGGTTTCTAATTTGATTCACAATAGTCATTGTTGAATTAAAAAGTTCTGCTTCTATTTAGAATTTTAAGATACAAGAAATTGAAAAGCTATGTGCATGTTAGATCACTGTTGATCAATCTACACCAAACTTATATCGTCTTTTAATTCTGTAAGTATAAATAAAGAAAACTTTTTGTGTTCAATCTATTGTAATAAGTGATCGAAAAACAATTTGATAAAATATTTATTCACTTTTCTTTTAGTAATTTTTTAAATAATCTTGTAAAATTTTCAGAACATCGGGTTAGAATCAAAATTTTTGTATTCTCTTCGAATATAGGTTCCACATTTCTCTAGAACTCTGTTTTAAAGGTTACGAATTCAACTTTTATAGGTAGAAACAGTAAAACTATATACTTTGTATTACTCTTTTTATTTTGTATAAAAATAACAAATGACTTTGTTCTCTACAAAGTATTATAAAAATAAAGAGTTTTACAACAATCATTGATAAGATGATTAATCTTACTTTTTCAGCCTGTTTTTCATAGAAATCGAGAAAATTGACAAAACTGACATAGTATTCTTTAGAAAAATATTCATTTTTTGATGAATTACTTGCAGGAAACTAATTAATCATTAATATATCATTGAGGATGTGAGTGTGGATGTGTGGATTTGGATTTTCTTTTGATACACACCCACACCCCAAATCGATAAATTAGTGACAAAAACTAAAATAAAATAAATTTTGAAACATTATTCAAAATATCAATTAATCTTTCTAATAAATGAGATTTCTATTCTATCGTATCGTCATATCCAACTAGAAGCAGGTCGATTATTATGAATAGGTGGCAAAACGTCGAACTGTAAAATATCGAAAATAATTTTTGTCGAAAGTCTTAATAATAAAGTAGAAGTCACGGATTTTGCCCTCACCCACACTATTGGACTGTGCGCTCGTTGTTCTTTAGTGATTTGTTTATGAAACACTTGAGCAAGACACGAATATTGTGCCTACAAAGCGTGTAATTTTCGATATTTTGCTTTTCGATGTTTTGCCCCTTTCCCGATTATCATCATAATCAACAATTGAGTGCAGCTTCCACTACATGAATTTCTCTCAACAAACAACTTTATGTTTATGAATAATATTCATTTGAAACTCATTATCGCTTGTTAAATTGATTTATATTCGGCCAAGAAGCAATAAGATGACAATTCCTGTCATTTTTCTAATAAGTGATTTTATATGGTCATCTTATCCGTCATTATATTTCCTTTGATTCATTCTCAATTTTGATCAAAACTTCCGCTCTCATTCTCACTGTCGATCTACTCGTTGATTTGGCCATCGGCTGCAGAAAAGAAAACACAATTTCCAGTATACCTCAAATTGAAAAAAAAAATATTGTTAAAGAAAAATAGACGTGTCCGTCTAATATTTGTATATACTTGTCGTGTAGAGTTTGATTTCGTCAAATTTGTTCACTCTCTAAGAAAAAGAAAGAAAGAAAGACACTCGTCTTTTTTTTTCTCGTTCATTATAAAGAGACAACTATATCTTATGTGCTGAATATTGATTATTATATCATTGCATCAATATATTGTTATTTTTTTATCTTATGAAAAAATTCTCAAACAGGTAAAACAATATTTGGTACAAGTTAGCTGTTGATGGAAACTCGATAGAAGCTATATTTCTACAGCTGAAGCCGATCTTCAATCAAAGAAAAAAAAAATAAAACTTTGGATCCGCACCTTGCACTTGTTTACTTTCAACACAGTCTATACACTAATTAGCGTGTTTAATACACGCACATCACAGCGTGATGATGAGGGCGCTGTGTCTAAAGTGAACAAGTACCTCGAATTTAACATGGTTTGAAATGATAGAATCATTTTGGTCAATTAATAAACGATTTAATTCTCTTGTTTGTTCAATATTTTCAATAAATTATGGTAGAAATAAAAGTGGAATTATTATTAGTGAAACAGATTTATCTTTAAATAAATATCAGTCAATATTATTGACAATAATTTCTAATTCAACTCTTTCTGCTTCTATACAACGAATTTATATTGATGGAGCAAAATCAGTTTTTTTTGATCTTATATCTGAATGGATTTTTCAAGAAAATCTTATTCATTTTATTAATTTGAAATCACTTATTCTAACTCGATGTTATCTAACAGAAATCTTAATTAATAATTTATCTTTACTTGTTCAATATCAATTAGATGAATTAATCTTAACAATTGATGACGATAGTTTTAAAATGTTTTACTGTGAATACGAATCTGGCAACAATGCTCGTGATCAAGGTAAATTGAAATTTTTCGCCAAACAATTCATTTTATCCCAAAAAACTCTTAAAAGTTAAGAATTGAAAACAAATGAAACTCATAGATTTTGTTATTGAAAAAAAAAATACTAAAGATTTGTTCTTTGTTTTTTTTTAATAACATAGTTCAAAAATTGAGAGTCATGTGTCAAGAATTCATGCGGCAACTTTTTTCATCTAAATGTCAATTAACATCTCTTCGACTTGATATTTCAAAAGACAATTCTTTTTTTCAAATACACAACTGTTTTTCATCATCATTTTCTCATATTTATTCAAATCAAATCGACAATCAACTTGTTACTAATTGTATGAGTCTTCGTCGTTTACACATTCATATTATTTATGGTTATTTTATTGAACATATTGTTAACCATGTACCTGCTCTTGAAATTCTATCAGTTATAATCCGAGATTCATTGGCTAGACATTTGTTATATCAGATGAAGGTTAAAACGTTTACGCCAGCTGTTGTCAATTGGTATGATAAGGTAAAATAAACAAAACATACTGTAACAATTGTTTAATAAGTGAGAAATAGATTTTTTCGTATGTAAATCTTCCCAAACAAATTGTTATTCCTGTGTAAAACTACAAAATTTGTTTCACATGTCCTAGACCAGAGCTATCAACAGGCCACTTTTTTCCGGCCTGACCTAATCTACAGGTCAGACTAAAAATCAAAGAGTAGTCTGGAGCTTGGCTTGGTCTGCCGATCAGGTCAACTACTGTTTCTGATATCTTGAGCCTATCAAATTCTATTGTTCTACTATTTAAAACTCTTTCCAAACCAACAAATTATCAATAGGAATCAATAGTTGATGATGCTTTATTACTACAGATATCATAGTAGGTTTTTTTCGTGTTTTAAGAAATTTATCCATTTAGTAAAATACAACAATGATTCCACAGAAGAAGCGAATAGCTAGGATGGGATCTTCATTTTCTTTTTTACTTTCAGAAAGGAAAAAAACTTTCCTTTTCCAAAAGAAAGTGTAGTTATTTATTTTTTTTTTGTAAAAAAAGGACACATTCGGAGTCATTTAAATTCTGCGTCTAAGAACTGTAATTCCATAGAATTGATAAAAAAATTTTTTGCATAGTTTTGAGTTCACCATATGCTGCAAAACAACAGGAGAAAAATGAAAGTCATTCTTGATAGGAAAGAGGTACCTAGCTTTACTCCATAGTTATACTCAGAATTTAATGCTGATCTCGAATATGTTCTTTTTTCCAAATAAAATAATTAATTGAACTTTCTTTTAATAAAGGAAAGTTTCTATTTTAATTTCTTTCTTTTTTTTTTTTATATAAGTAAAGCCGACGTCACACTCTAA